GTTGTTGTTGTTGTTGTTGTTGTTTTTGTTTTTGTTGTTGTTGTTGTTGTTGAACATTATTTATTCTAAAGAATAATTATTGTTGGGCCCCCTGGTGCGCGCCCCCCCTGCGCCGCCTAGGCCGCAGCTACATTTTCATCATTTTCGTGAGGAAGCCTCAGAAAAGAGGGTGTGTACAGGATCCGGTTGTTTTGTTGTAATCCGCTTTCCCTTGCAAAAAACAATAGAAAATGACATTTCTTGTTCTAATATAATCAAATTTCAAGAATCCCTTGCAAAAAATAAGGTAAAGTGGACATTCGCGCGCGCAAGACGAAATCCTTCCAAAACCTTAGTGTTCGCAGCGATTTTAACATAAAAACATCAAAAAACCAATGGTTTTTCAACAAAAAATTGTCAAAATCTCATCCCGCGCGCTCTTGCGGATTCGTAGGAAACCCAACACTTTTTAAACATTTCTGTCAAACGGGCTTTTGCGAGCAACTTTTTCGAACTTCTGCGACAACGGTTGCGCACCTGCCAGGGCCATCATCCCTGTCAAATAATACCATGCGGGACACATTCGTTTTTTCTTCGCGCGCGCACGCCACGGTCGAGAACCAGCGCCGTATTGGAGGCATCCAGACCCCAGAGTGGATGGCCTTCGACGTATACTTCTACCCTGGCTTGGTATTCGGCAACCTTTCTGGTTTCGTAGATCTACCCGCGACGTATCTTGGCACACTTTCGGACGTATTCCAGCGGCTGTGCACCCAAGCTGGTATACCGAACTGGAGAGCGCACGTCTTCGTTGGGCCCGGCGGCTGGGTGTATGCGGGCTTGCGCAGGCTGTTGCATCTCCTGGGTATTCACGTGCACTCCGAGGTGGTATCAGGTCTGTCGTACAGGCGCATGGCGAGCCTGGACGTATTTGTGGCAACACACACGGGACCCATGGGTATTGAGCCGCAATCTATGGCTCTGTGGAATGCCTCCCACGACGTCAACGATGGTATCACCTATTTCCCGAAGCAGGACCATTGGTGGCACATGCCAGTATGGCGTTCTTGCGGGCAGTCCCAGTATGGCAATGTCATGGATTACCAGGTGGATCTGCGTATGCCGGCGCATGTCCAGGGCGTCCTGGCGGTATTGGCGCCCCTCGCACGCACGGGCGATGTATCCGTGAGGAGGCGTATCGGCACCATGCTTGGACACTTGGCCCCTGATGTATTTCTGCCAGGAGCCCAGCTGGCAGCGTTGCGCCCCATCCGTGCCATCAGGGGCGGGCGTATGCCAGAAGATGACGAGCACACGAACTCGTCTCTTTAGAGCCGCGGCGGGGAAAAGACGGTGGGTGGGCGTGCAAGCGCCGTTCCCGCCCCTCCTCTCTCTTCTCTCCTTTCCTCCTTGTCCTGCTCCTCCTCCTCCTCCTCCTCCGGCGGGGGGCGTGAGGATCCGGCATCGCTCACAACCATCGGGGCAACCGTCGGGACAACCATCGGAACAACCATCGGGACAACCATCGGGGCAATCATCGGGACAGTCATCGGGGCAACGATCGGGACAAGCGCGACCATCAGGACAACCATCGGGGCAATCATCGGGACGACGATCGGGACAACCACAACCATCAGGACAACCATCGGGACAACCATCGAGACAACCATCGGGGCAACCATGTCCTCTTTCTCTTGTGTATTCCCACATCCCTCAGGAATTTGCCCTAAAGATGTGATCAACTACCTTGTGAGTACGTATCATGTGTATCATGTGTATCATGTACCATATGCATCATATGCAACAGATGTTCTGTGGAAGGCTTAACAACTTCTGTGGGTTAACAAGGCTTAACAACTTCTGTGGGTGTACGAACGTAAACAACTTCTGTGGGTGTGTACTCCACGCCAGTGTAGTAGCCACGGTCGTCCGCAGGCCACGAAGTGAAGTGTCCGAACGTCATAGGGCGGGAAGCTGGGTGTGGGTGGTGGCGAAGAGTCGTGTGGATATTTGGTAGAGCTTGCACTGCCCCCCCACAAAGTGGGGGTATTGGCTGGCGTCGCATGAAAACCCTGGCACTGGTGAGAACACTGAGCGTTCGGGTAAAGTGATTGTTGTTGTTGTTGTCGTTGTTGTTTAGTTTTTTTCTCTTCTTCTCACAACGTCGACACCCCAAGGTCTGGAGCCTTTTCCCGGGACCGTTTTTTTCATCCTGAGTCTTTTTGTGACGGTCCCGAGGTCCGGGAAGGGCCCCCGGAGGCCGAAGACAGCGACAAAGCCTCCCCTGTCGTGAGTTTTCTGCCCGATCCGAGGGGGGTTTGGGTATTAAGTGCGCGCCGCGAAGACCTGGCAGGTAGTCCGCAGGGGCCCGCGCTCCACGGGCGGCTGAGAGGCGCGGCTTCGTCTTTTATGTCGAGAAGATCCCAGCGGCGGCAACGCCACGCGTGAATTTTGACAGGCTGTCCTTCAAAAAACAATTTCGGCGGCTCGGCTGCCGCTGGTGGCCCGCCTCTGCCCGTTGGGGGAGCGTTGGCGACGTTGCCGAGCGATTTGTGCCCACTGCCGAGAGGCGCGGCCTTCCCGGGCGGCGAGGGCGGCGAACCGCCGCCTCTCGGCCGCGAGGCCCGCAGGCCGCGGGCCGCGGGCCGCGCCGGGCGGGCGGGCCGCCGCGGCCGCCGTCGTGGCCTGTTGGCAGCGCTCGGGCGCGTGCGCTCGGTGCCACAGCCCACTCAGCACCCACCAAGCCACCCCGGCCCAACCCGAAGGTTCAAATATACCCTCCATTTCCAGTGGGGGGGGGGTCGGGAAACATCGACAAAAACACATGTGGACCCCCCCAACGCGAAATTCGGGTCTTCGGGTTGGGTTGGGGTGGTCTGGTAGGTAGTCACCCACCTAGCCTTAAATCGGGCCTGTCCCTCTACAGGGGGACTATTCAAAATTCTAGACGCTTCGCGTATCCCCACCAGCCCGTCCAGAAACGACGCCCAGGCGAGTAGAGGGTCGTCCTGAGGGGCTTTTCGGCGTCTTGGGTGCCTCGGGGGGGCCTCTGTGGGCCGTTCGGGATCCTCTTTGGGGCCTCCTGGGGGCCTCTTGGGGCCTCTTGGGGCCATCTTGGGGCCTCTGGGAGCACCTTGGGTGCCTCTGGGGGGTCTCTTGGGGCCTCTTGGGGGTCTCTTGGGGGCCTCCTGGGGGCCTCTTGGGGGGCCTCTTGGGGTCATCTTGGGGCCATCCTGCGGCCTCTTGGGGCATCCTGGGGGCCTCTTGCGGCCATCGTGGAGGAAATCGATCAAAGAAGAGGGGTTCCTTAATTAGAGTCCCCCCCCAGGAGCCACGATCCTCGTGAGGGGTGTCGAATTTTAGCCTTCCCAGGGGTCGATCTTGGGCGCTCCAGCGCGCCGCGGAACCCCCTGTCCAGGTCAGTGGGGAGGGGGTCGGGGGAGGGGTAAACCCCTCCCCGAAGGGGAAGAAGGGGGGTTGGAAGAGGAAACGCTCTAAACCACCGACGCCCAGAGGGCTGGTGGGAGTAGTCAAAACAAAAAATCTGGGGACTTTTTTTGGGGGGGCATTTTTTGGCCAAAACCCTTCTGTAGGGGGGACAGGCCGGACTTAAGGCTATGATCAAAAGTCACGACGGGAGGTGTTTCGCTATTGTCGGCCTCTGGTGGCCCCTGCCGGCCCTCGGGGCCGTGACAGCAAACGACTCGGGACGAGAAACCGGTCCTGGGGAAGGGGTCGAGATTTCTGGGGGCCGACGTCATGGAAAGCTCTTGACGTCGGGGATTTGGGGAGTCAGGGAGGGCTTCGAGCACCAAGAGGAGTACCGAGGCCGAGCAGAGAGCGGTGCGCTTCTGGGTCGAGTCCGGGGGGTCCGCGGAGTCTGGTGTGTCCGGGGAGTCCGGAGAATCTGGGGAAGCGGGGGAGCCCAGGACCCAGGCGAAGCGCGCACCGTACTGAAACCGAAGGGTCTTCACGTGTCGGGCCCTGGGAGGCGATGTTCTTTCGACGCTTTGCTAGCGTGTCGGGCATACTCTGTTCCGATACTCTGCTGGGTGCTCGAAGTTGTTTCTGGGATGTGACCCTGAAGTGCGATGAGAGCAAGATAAGGCGAAACTTAAATCAAGCCTGTCCCTCTACAGGGGGAATAGTCAAAAATAGTCAAAAAATAGTCTGGGGACTATTTTTTGTATATTTTTGGGCATCTTTTGAGCATTTTTTGAATTTTTTTATTTTTCGTACAAAATCCCATCCCCCTCTGTACGGGGACAGGCCCGACATAAGGCGAGGCGAACGTTGGAGCAGTCCCCGGGGCTGAGATCGCCCAGCACGGGCTCCGGCCGGCAGGAAGGGCGGGCAGGTTCGAGGTACGCTATGGGTTCGGGGAGGTTTGTTTTGCCGTTTTCGGGCTCCGGGACTGGAACACGGATGTGGGGTGACAACTTGCGCCAGATGGACCCGCGCCAGAGAATCTGAAACATATTGGAGCATCCTGGGTAATCGTAATTAGGACATCGCGCGCGAAACCAGACAGTGTATGGAGAACATACGTTCGAGCGATGGCAAATGTCGCGCGGCCTTGGATGGAGTCGGCAGCCGCGGGCCGCGCCGCAGGCGATTGACAGAGGGCAACCATTGGGGCGTTGCTCTGCTGATTCATTTTCAATGATGGCCAGTCGCAGTGGTACCCGTTTTTATTCTCGGACACTTCCCAGCTGTCGACGTCGCGCGAACATAGGTTTTGATTTCTCAAAATCTTCGGCAGAGTGAATCTCGACAGATGTGCGGCGGTGCACGCTTGAATCATCTGATTTCTCTCCGATTGCACCTCGGGCAGATTCGCTTCCCAGCGGTCTCCTTTCTTTTAATTTCGCTGTACAGCAATATTTTCCAATTTCTGGCAATGAGGGCGTGCGATCAGCACCGTTGCATTGCTTTCAACATACCCCTTGCCTCACCGATGGCAGGCGGATAGCTTTGCAGGAGGCTCCCACGAAGAGGTCCTGGTGGATTTCGCAGTTTCGATGGGCCCGCCCAGGCCCGCGCTCTATCGCAACATCGCCCCGCTCGCATTCCGCCTCATTTTTTTGTGTGACTCGCGCCCAGCTCGCACCCCACCACTATTCTCCATGAGTGGTGTTCGGGAAAGTGCAGCAGGGCTTCCAGGAACGAGCTGGACAGTTTCTCTTCCAGAGGTCCCTCTCTGGATGGTGCGCAAATATCTTTTCAAGAGGCTCCCACGAAGAAGTCCTGATGTTCGCAGTTTTGGCCGCCCATGCCCCTCCCTCTATCCAGAATCGACCCGCTCGCGGTCTTCTTTCTTCTTTGTCCTCCTCTGTTTTTTTGCGACTCGCGCGCAGCTCGCACCCCACTTGCACTATTCTCCATGCGTGTTCCGGAAAGTGCAGCAGGGCCAGGAACGACGCCCGGGCCAGTTCCGCTTCCAAGAGGTCCCTGGCGGGCAAATATCTTTTCAAGAGGCTCCCACGAAGAAGTCCTGATGGATTTCGCAGTTTCGATGGGCCCGCCCATGCCCCTTCCTCTATCCAGAATCGCCCCGCTCGCGGTCTTCTTTCTTCTTTGTCCTCCTCTGTTTTTTTGCGACTCGCGCGCAGCTTACACTATTTTCCATGCGTATTCCGAAAAGTGCAGCAGGGCCAGGAACGACGCCCGGGCCAGTTCCGCTTCCAGGAGGTCCATGCTTGGATGGTGGGCAAATATCTTTTCAAGAGGTTTCGATGGGCCCGCCCATGCCCCGCCCGCTATCCAGAATCGCTCCGCTCGCGGTGCGCTTTCTTCTTCGTTCTTCCTTGCAGCTCGGTTCTACAGCTTGCGGATTGGATAACTGCGAAATATGAGCCCTGGTGCAGCTGCATGTCCTGCTGGCAGTTTCGATAGAGGTGGTGGGCAGAGGAAGGGAATATGCTTTCAGGAGCCGAGGGGCACATACAGCAGCACAACGGCAGGCATGCTGGCTAGAGTTCCTGTAGAGCGCACTGCGGCATGGCGTCAAGAAAAGGTGGCTCAATCAGTCGGTTGGAACATGCGTGGGTTCTAGGAGGTTGTGCCTAGCAGCTTGGAGTGACAACGTCTTTACATTTTCTGTTACCTATCCGGAGGCTATTAGAGTCATGACATAATGGGGGTCCAGCTTAAGAGCCAATGCCTCCTGGTGCTGAAATAATCAAGTAGGAAGATCATGAAATCGGCCCCCAGCAACGAGGCTGCCAATATATCATACGCCCTTCAGCTCAGAGTAATCTGGTGGACGAGTACGATCCGCAAACGCCTCGGACGGCCCCCCGAAGTATACCATGCAAGAAGAGCCCGTCAAGTCAGACGTGCCGGTGGAGTAGAACTCATGCCGTAGCGTGCCTCAGCTGGGGTTTCTGCAGTTCTGGCTCAGGGAAGCCGCTCGGGCTCGAGGTCCGCCGAGCCGGCTGCGCGCCTGGAGCTCGGGGTCGGCGCCGCGGCGGCCCCGCCTGCTGCTGCCGCCTGCTGCTGCCGCCTGCTGCTGCCGCCTGCTGCTGCCGTTGCTGCTTCCGGCTCCCTGGCGGGTGCCCCTGGCCCCCGCGCGCGCCGCGGCCGCCGCTGCTGCTGCCGCCGCGGCAGCTTCGTGCGGGCTGCCCGCGGCTGCTGCCGAGGCCAGCCTCGCGGCCGCCTTGGGTGCAGACCTGCCCTGGCCGCTGCGGCCGCCGCCGCCGCTGCCGCCGCCGCTGCCGCCGCTGCTGCCGCTGCTGCCAGTGCCTCGCTGGCGGTGGCGGCGTCGGGCGGCGTGGTCGCTGGCGTCGCCGCTGGCGCTGCGGGCGCCGCCGCTGGGGGGGCCGTGAGCGCCGCGGGCGCCACGGGCACCGCGGGCGCCGCTGGCGCCGCTGGCGCCGCCGTCGGCGCCTGCGCCGCGGGCGCCGCGTGCGCCGCGTGCGCCGACTGCGAGCCTGGTACTCAGGACCCGGTAGTCTTTTGGGACCCTGCTGGACAAGCCGTGTACAGCAGCGCAGTCCAGACCCTCGTTGCTGGGGCCGCAGAGGACGGCAACTGAAGTGGGAACACGAGCTGCGGGACGCCTGGCGGTTCGAGTTGAGTCGCAGGCTGGTGCGGGACCGCTGCCATCAGTATGCTGGAGCGCACCCGATCGACTGGGAACGCACCATGGCGTACTATGACGAGCTGCAGAGGCTGGCCGACGTGGGCAAGGGGAGGAGGAGGGGAGGGAGGAGGAGGAGGAGGAGGAGGAGGAGGATGAGGAGCAGGAGGAGGAGGAGGAGGAGGAGGAGGAGGAGGAGGAGGAGGAGGAGGAGGAGGAGGAGGAGGAGGAGGAGGAGGAGGAGTAGGATCTTTCCGACAACGCCATGCTCCCAGACCCAGCGGACGCTAGGCTTCTGGCCAGTGTCAACGATTACGCCAAACTCATCGCCGCCTCCGTCATCTGCGGCGCCCCCGACCTCCGTGAGCAAGCAGAGAGAACAGCGCCGAGAGCGGAAGCAGAGACATCCAGCAGCATCGACAACACTGAGCATTACTATGACATCACCGTGCAGTTCCTCGGAGCAGCCAAGCCGATACTCGAGAAGTGGATCGAAGAAAATCGCGACGCCCTCCTCGAGAACACCGCCGAAGAAGTGAACGCTGCCATCGAGGACCGCGCCCCGCGACAAGAGGCCCTGCACGCCAAGCGCCTACTGGCCTTCGGAGGGCGAAAGCTCAAGAAGCCGCCCACGCTTATCATTCGCAGCACTGAGGATGGCAAACCCCTCACTACATTGCGGCTACTAGGCGACATGTCGCCGCGTGAGTATGGGGGTTCAGCGGCTGCTTCTGTGTCTGGCACGGACGAGAATGAGGGGCGCTCGAGAGCAAGACGTCCGACGGCAAAGCTACGACAGACTCGATAGTCAAACGGCGCCCGAGAGGACGAGCGACAGCGACAATATGCACATGGACCCGAATGGCAGCCTGCTGCGGCGCCCCCAGCGGCCAGACCTGGAAGGCAAGACACGATAATAATTTCAATAATGGTAGGACTAATAAGAATACTAGTACGATTCGTAGCACAACTAATAGTAGTAAGAAGACTATTCACAACAATTGTAATCACATTACTAATATTACTTATAATGATGATAAGAAGAATAAGGTGAGTCATAATAGGAAGACTAAGCATAGATTTAATACTAGTATGAATGGTACACATATGAAGACTAATGCGAATAACCAAGCTAATACCAAACTTATTAATAATAAGAGGAATCGTACGACTCAGAATAATATTTAGCTGCCTCATAAGAAGAATTACCAGAGTACTAATACTGATGCTCTTAATACCAAGAAGAAGGACACTATGAATAATCATGGTAATAATGATACCGGTGTTATTCAAAAGAAGACTATACTTAATATTGGTCAGAAAAATACCAACAATAGAAATAGAACGAGGAACACGAACAATAGGACGAATTATATTAATATTAGTAATAATACGAATCACAAGAAGGAGTCGCATAATAGTATTAGTTATCGTAGCAATACTACATATAATAAGACACATAAGAGTACAAATACGAATGGTACGAATACTTACAATAATACTAAGCGGAATATTAAGAATACTAGTACGCATGCTAATACGAGTGATAATGAGACGAAGAACGCAACTACTAATACGAATACGGAGAAACGCAATACGAATACCAGTAATAATGTGCACCGTATTACGTAATAATTATGCGAGTCTCATAAAAAATAAGAGTGGTAATAATCATACTGATCAGCATACAAAGAAAACGTAATCATACTACGACTAATAATAATGTTTCAAACATGACGAATACTAACACGAATAATACTCAACGCGCGCACTAGTACTACAATATTATTACTATCACGCATAGCAACACTAATAACACGAATACTACTGCGAATACTTATACTACTGCTAGTGATGATGATACGGATCATTATACTATGAACGAAAACCTATGATTAATAATACTACTATTACTACTACCATTAATAATCATATTGCGCATACAAACAATACTACTCATCAGAGTGATACGACTACCAACAGTAATAGTAATACGACTACTACTACTACTACTACTACTACTACTACTACTGTTGCTGCTACTACTACTACTACTACTACTACTACTATTAAATAAGAGGAACACTAATACTACTAATACTACTGATGGTAATACAAATCACCATACTATTAATCATCATGCCAAGAATAATAATATTACCGATAAGAAACAATGACGACGACAACTAGTAATAGTAATACTAATACGAATGCTGATATTAATAAGAAGAGTACGCATACTAACATGAGCATGAACGATAGGAATACCAATATTTAATAATACGAAGAAGAGGGGGACTCAGGAGGACAATGAGACTGAAGATGATTTCCAGGACGAGGAGGAGGAGGATGAAGAGGAGGAGGAGGAGGAGGAGGAGGGGAAGGAGGAGGAGGAGGCGGAGGAGGAGGAGAAGGAGGAGGATGAGGGGAGGGGGAGGAGGAGGGAGGAGGAGGAGGAGGAGGAGGAGGAGGAGGAGGAGGAGGCGGAGGCGGAGGCGGCTGCGGGAGTGGAGGCGGAGGCGGAGGCGGAGGCGGAAACGGAAACGGAGGCGGATCGGAGGCGGAGCGGAGGCGGAAGCGGAGGCGGCGGAGGCGGCGGAGGCGGCGGCGGCGGAGGCGGACGCGGAGGCGGAGGCGGCGGCGGCGGCGGCGGCGGAGGCGGAGGCGGAAGCGGAAGCGGAGGTGGAGGCGGAGGCGGAGGAGGAGGCGGAGGCGAAAGCGGAGGCGGAGCCAGAGGCGGAGGAAGAGGAGAAGGAGGAGGAGGACAAAACGACGACAAAACGACGACATAACGACTGCATAACTACGACATAACGGCGACGACACATCGACGACACAGCGACGACACAACGACGACAACGCGACGACAGTGCGACGACAACACGACGACCAAACGACGACACAACGACGACAAAACGGCGACAAAATGACGACACAACGACGGCATATCGTCGACATAGCGACGACTTAACGAAGACGACACAACGACGACACACCGATGACAAAAGGACGACAAAACGACGACAAACAACGACAAAACGATGACATAACGACGACCAAAGGACAACGGCGACGACGACGACGCAACGACGACAAAACGACGACACAACCTCGACACAACAACGACACAACGACGACAACGCGACGACAAAGCGACGACCAAACGACGACCCAACGACGCCACGAAGACGTCAAAACGACGACAAGACGACGGCAAAATGACGACATCACGACGACGTAACGACGATAAAACGACGACACCACGACGACGCAACGACGACACAATGACGCCAAAACGTGACGACACAACGACAACGCAGCGACGACAAAACGACGGCACAACGACGACAAGACGACGACAAACCGCGACAACACAACAAAACGACGACACAACGACGACAAGGACATAACGCCGAC